TATCCCCGATTTGATTGTTTGAAAGATGTAGGCTAGTAAGTGTCTAGATAAAGAATGGATGCAAGGATATGATACAGGTAAAGGGTGAATGAGAGTTACTGCGTTGTATCGTAATGCATTACCGACAGATTGTCCTCCGACAGCTCCAATTTGATTATTTGAAAGATATAGACGGGTGAGTATCTATGTGAAGAACTAGAGGTAAAAACCTGGTATAGATAAAGAGGAAATGAGAGTTACTCTGTTGCGTTGTAAGCCATTACCCAAAGATTGTGCCCCAACATATCCGATTTGATTGTTGGAAAGATCTAGACTGGTGAGTGTCTAGATAAAAGAGTGGAGGCAACGATATGGCACAGGTAAAGAGTGAATGACAATTACCGCATTATATTGTAATGCATCACCCAGAGATTGTGCTCCGACATCCCCGATTTCATTCTTCGAAAGATCTATGTCGGTGAATGTCTAGATAAGGAGTGTAGATAAATATACGGTATAGGAAAACAGTGAATGAGCGTTACATTGTTGTGTTGTAGTATATAACCCCAAAATTGTGCTGCAACGTCTCCGAATTGAGTGTTCGACAGGTTTACAGTAGTGGAAGTCTAAATTATGAACTGTAGATAAACAAATGGTACAAATAAAGTTGGAATGGGAACTACTATGCTTGGGTCCACTCGATGATGGAGAGATTGTAGTTCAACGGGTCTGAGACCACTGATCTCGAAATGGAGATCCCTAATTTCCTACATGGAAAAGTGGACATAAAGGTGCGCTTTAGACAAAGGAAGAATGATACTTACTGTGCTCTGTAGAAATCCAGTATCAAACGATTGTGCTCCAACATGTCCGATTCTATTAATCGAGACACTTAGTGCGGTGAGGGTCTAGACGAAAAAGTGTAGATGAGGACATGGTATAGAGATGCAGAAAATGACAGTTACTGTATTATGTTGTAATGCATTATTCAAAGATTGTGCCGCGGCATCTCCGATTCCATCGATCGAGAAATCTAGTGCGGTAAGTGTCTAAATCAAGAGATGAAGTTCAAGACATATCATAGATAAAGAAAGAATGAAGGTTACTGTGTTGTGGTGCAGTACTGCTGCCAAAGATTGTGCTCCAGCTTCTCCCATTCTATTCATCCACAGTTTTAATGAGGTGAGCGTCTAGATGAAAACATAGGGGTAACGATATGCTATCGATAAACAGAGAATGAGGGGTTACTGTGTTGTGTCGTAATGCATCGCCTAAAGATTGTACTCCACCATCTCGTATTTGATTGTTCGAAAGATCCAGAGTTGTCAGTGTCTGAAGAAAAACGTAGGAGTAATCCTATACTATAGATAAAGAGTGAATGAGAATTACCGCGTTATGTTGTAATACATCACCTAAAGATTGTGCTCCACCATCTCCAATTTGATTGTCCGAAAGGTCTAGAGCGGTCAATGCCTAAAGAAAAACGTAGGAGTAACGCTATGCTATAGGTTAAGAGGGAATCAGAGGTACTGTGTTGTATTGTAATGCATCACTCAAAGATTGTGCTCCACCATCTCTGATTTGATTGTCCGAAAGGTTTAGAGTGGTAAGTGTCTATATGAAGAAATGGACATAAGAGGTATGATATAGAAAAATTAAGAATCATAGTTACTGTATTCTGTTGTAATGCAACTCCCAAAGATTCCAAGCCAAAATCTTTGATTTCATTGGCTGCGAGGTATAGACCCGTGAGTGTCTACATGAAGAACTAAACGCTAAGACATGATAGATAAAGAGCTAATGAGAGTTACTGTGTTGTATCGTAATGCATAACACACAGATTGTGCACCAATGTCTCCGATTTCATTATTCGAAAGATCTAGAAACGTGAGTGTCTAGATGAAAAATTGGAGACACAGACATGGTATTGATAAAGAGAACAAGAACTACTGTGTTGCGTTGTAATGCATCGCCAAACGCTTGTGCTCCAATATCTTTGATCTTATTACTCCAAAATAATAATCTGGTGAGTGTCTAGATAAAGAGCGGAGGCAAAGATATGGTAGAAGTAAAGGATGACTGAGAGTTACTGTGTTGTATCGTAATGCATTACTCAAAGATTTTGCTCCGACAGCTCCGATGTGATTTTTCGGAAGATGCAGTTCGGTGAGTATCTATGTGAAGAACTAGAGGTAAAAACCTGGCAAAGATAAACAGAGAATGAGAGTTACTCTGTTGTGCTGTAATGCATCACCTAAAAATTGTGCTCCAACATCACCGATTTGATTCTCCGAGAGAATTAGTATGGTGACTGTCTACATGAAGAATCGGAAGTAAAGACTTGGTATAGAAAAAGAGAAAATGAGAGTTACTCTGTTGTGTTGTAACGCATGGCCCAAACATTGTGCTCCAACATCTCCGATTTTATTGTTCGAAAGATCTAGACTGGTGAGCGCCTAGATAAAAAAAATTGGAGGCAAAGACATGGTTTAGATAAAGAGAAAGTGAGAGTTACCGTATTTTGTGGTAATCGAGCACCTAAAAATTGTACTCCAAGAGGCCCGATTTGATTGTTTGAAAGACTTAGAAAGGTGAGTGTCTAGAGGAAGAAGCAGATATAATGACATCGGATAGATAAAGAGAGAATCAAAGTTACTGAGTTGAGTCGTAATGCATTACTCAAAGATTGTGCTCCAACGGCTCCAATTTGATTATTCAGAAGATGTAGACTAGTGAGTGTCTGTATGAAAAAATGCAGTTAAATACGTGATATAGATATACAGAGAATGAGATTCACTATGTTGTATTGTAACCCATCGCCCAAAAATTGCGTTCCAGCATCTCTGATTTGATTGTCCTCGAGATTTAACGTGGTAAGTGTCTAGAGAACGAAATAGAGGTGAAAACATTGTTTAGATTGAAAGGAAATGAGAGTTACCCTGTTGTGTCCTAATGCATCACCCAAAGATTGTGCTCCAGCATCTCCGATTTGATTGTTCATAAGATCTAGTGCGGTTAATGTCTAGATAAAGAAGTAAAGGTAATAATATGCTATAGATACAGAGGGAATGAGAGCTACCTTGTTGTATCGTAACCCATCGCCCAAAAATTGTGCTCCAGCATCTGCGATGTGATTGCCCTTAAGGTATAGTGTGGTTAATGTCTAGTTGAAGGAGTAAAGGTAGTAATATGCTATATATAAAGAGGGAATGAGAGTTACCCTGCTGTGTCGTAATGCATTACCCAAAGATTGTGCTCCAACATCTCCAAATTCATTGTACGAGAGATCTAGAGTAGTGAGTTTCTAAAGATTAAATATGGAGAGAAAGAAACGGTATGGATAAAGAGAGAATCATATTTACTGTGATATGATGTAATGCAATACCGATAGATTCCGCTCCAGCATCTCCGATTTGATTATGTCGAAGATTCAGACTGGTGAGTGTCTAGATGAAAAATTGTAGTTAAATACATGGTATAGATAAAGAGAGATTAAGAGTTACCATATTGTGATGTAATGCATCACCTAAATATCGTGCTCCAACAAGTCCGATTTCATTGCTGCATAGATTTAGTGTGGTGAGTGCCTAGATGGAGAAATGAAGGTAAAGCCATGATATGGATAAAGATAAAATGAACGTTACTGTGTTGCGTTTTAATGCATTACCCAAAAGTTGTGCTCCATCATCTCCAACTTTACCGGCCGTAAGATCTAGTGTGGTTAGTGTCTAGAGGAAAAAATGGAGGTAAAATATAGTTTAGATAAAGAGAAATCGAGTGTTACCATGTCGTGCTGTAATGTGTGAGCCAAATTTTGTGCTTTAACATATCCAATTCGATGATATTTGATATTTAGTGCAGTGAGCGTCTAAATGAAAATGTGAAGGTAAAAGAATGGTAGAGAGAAGAAGAGAATAGTTGATCGGTGTTATCTGCGTTGAGAGTAATGAAATGAATGTTAGGATGATCTTGTTCTAGGGTCTGTTGGTATCAGTATGGGCATTTCAACGACGTTAAGTCGTGAATAGTGTTCAATACTGTTTTTTGAAAATCTATACTGAAGAGAAATTAGGAAGGTAGAACTAGTGATAGAATGTTTTTTTTTGAGTTACCTTATCTTCTGAAGTTTCTTGAAAGGAGGAAGAGACTTTAATTAGTGAAAAGTAGTGCGGAAGCTATTTCTTTTGGCAAATATTTGTAAACCGTAGTATAATGTTTTGAAATTGGACAATATGGGAGTGAAATGCTATGAGCGTAGTAAGGTATGGTGCAATGAGTGTGAAGATTGTGTAGTTATGGTGGACGATGATTTTCATTCATGGTCATTGTTCAAAGTCTATGTATTTGTCATCAGAACTCCATGTGAATTCTCGAACATTTCTTTTTTTATATGCATTGATGGTATGATTAAGAATACATATTGATTTCGACAATTGCATTTGATGCCATCATAAAGTTGTGTTGATGAAACCAGATTGTTTTTTTAAGAAATAAAAAGTTAAACAATCTATTCTGTAATTTTAGACTTATTATGAGTAGAAGATGAATGCATGCATAAACGTGGTATAAAAAAAATATCACTGGCGAATTATTCTTGAAACTTCAACCTTGAGTCGATGTACGTGGGGCGAAATCTGTTCCAGAGCAATTGTTTTAGCAAAAACATTTGCTTCATATGTTGAATTCTTTCAAGAAATATTCCATTTTGTTGAGGATGTGTATGTGAAAGATGTGAATGAATGAGAATATTGATATTCTTGTGAGCCAATCTTCTGTTCGTCTACACCTACCGTCACTTGTGCCGACAGTCACGGATGTCTTTAAAGAAGCATTTGTCTGAACTATTTCGCAAGAAAATATCGAAATAGTATGAAAGAAAAAATAAGAAATGAATTTTTGAGTAGGGATGGACATCTAATGAATTATTTTGAGTGACAACTAGTTTATTCACATATACTTTACCGAAGTCATTCTACTTAAATGAAGGGTGATAGAAAAAAGTTTACCTGATATCGATAATAACTGTCCAATATCTTGTTGAATCGTTGACATACGTTTCTCATAGAGCATAGAATTGTGTAGTCCGATTGATGATCAAGAATTCGGTAGACAAGTTCTATTGGTAACGTAAGGAAGTTTAGGACAGTTTGATTTGCCATTGTAGATGATTGATGAAATGTATGCTGTGTAGCCTTATATGCTGGTTATATATATATTGTTCTCTATCTTATCATTCAATGAGTGAATATTTGTTTTGTTTCATCGATTTCCCATGACATTTGTTATGGCATGATATATCTCTTGCCATAAAGAATGCAGATTCTGTTTCATTTCCTCACGTACTGCTGATTTAGTTTGGTATTTTGAGAGGGAATATTGTGATAAGATAGATAATTCTTGTTCTTATAAAAGAAGGGAAATAAAGAACGAAAAGAATGATGTAATTACTTGTTGAAAGAATAAAACCGAAAAAGAATGATGTCGACTTCAGAATGACAGAACTGCCATAACAATTGTAAGCAACGGTTTTTTTTCTTCAAAATTGTTTTATCGATCTAAAATGATACGTAATATACATGACTACTGCGTTCTCGGTTATAAATAGCAAAGATTAAATGACTTTCTCTGTTGTCATTTGATCATAAAATCAAATATACATATTTTATAAGATGACACAAAATTCGTTCCCTTAAAACAGAGTCAGACGAGTGAACTGAGGAAAAAATAAGATCACGATTGTTTAAAGAAACTTTGATTTTTTAATATAGAAATTTGGAAAAAAACATATATATATTTCTTTTTATTATGGATGGAAATATGATAAGTCAAAATGTTACTGCATCTATTCTAGTAGAAATATCAAATTAAATTTTCGTTATGATATCATTTTATATTCATTTCGATTTTTATTATATACTGAACAATTTTGTTAAAATCTTTTATTATCATCATCATCATCATCAAAAGTAGAAATAAAAAAGATCTATAAGAAAAATTATGTTTCCAAGCAATTACTTTCAAGATATGTTAGTTTAAATTGTCCATTTTGATGGTCTCATCTATTAAATTGGTATTTTCTGTATTTAGACAATATATCAATTTAACTCGATTCTAAGATAATTGTGAAAATCTGAAGATCAGCATGAGTTCTATACTAAAGCATCGAACATATTAGACTGAAATAGTTACCATAATTTAGATTAGTATTCAATTGATTTAAACATTTTCTTATTGAAAAATAATCTTAGTAGTTTTACTTCTATGCATTTTTTTCCTGAAAATTGTATTAGATAGATTGCTGTCAAGCAAATGTATATAAGCGTCATCTATGAAAGAATCCATATAATATCTTTATAGATCCATAATAATAAATTATTACTGCGATGATTGTTCCTGTTCTGTTCTGTTTTCTTTTTTTATGACTTCGAATCTAGTCGAGAAATGTAACTTGTGATTTATTTTTATTGTGTTATTCTATACATTTAAGTATCATTATTATTTTTAATGAAATATGGACGTAGAGCAGCCATATACAAAAAATCCTTTAAAACGACGTCGTCTTTTATTTAGTAAAGCTAAATTGAAAGCAGTTTCACGTACAAGTGCACTTCTATCCGGATTTGCTATGGTCAGTGATTTATTTTTCTTGTATGTATTCTATATACATTATTATCTAATTGTGTTTTTTTTCTTATTATTTCATTAACTAGGTTGCAATGGTTGAAATTTCATTAGATGATCATAAAAATGCGAAAGGTTCCGCACCTTTACTAGTAGTCTACTCAGTTATAACATGTCTTCTTGTTGGTGTACATCTATTAGCATTAATGATTAGTACATGCATATTACCACAATTAGAAGCGGATAGTTTAATTGGTTATGAAGAATATGAATCGCATGAAACAATGCATATTTATATTGAATTAGCATGGATATTAAGTACTGGATTTGGTGAGAAAAAAACTTTCAATCAATTAATGTATATGGTTTTTGTTTTCTTCTAGGTATATTTTTATTTCTAGTTGAAATAGCAATTGTTTGTTGGGTCAAATTTTATTATGTAACACGACCGGCTGCAATAGCAACAACAATTGTTATTGTACCAGTTATTATACTATTTTGTATATTTTCATTACATTTCTATCGACGTCTTGTATCATTTAAATTGAGTCGTCATCAAGATGAATTAAACGAAATTGAAAATACATTAACAGTTGGTAAACTTGCACAAGCAAATATCATTTAATCGAACAAAAAAAAAATATATAGCTATGTCTTTTTTTTCCATTTATTTCTTTTCTGTGTCTGTGACATCTGTAATCTCATACGATATAAATAGTCTTTAATTTTTTTTGGTTTTTATCATTGCATGGTTATAAATATATGTTATATCATTCTGTATTTGTAGATTTCTTACTTAATACGATTGAAATGTGATAACAATGACAGCAGAAAAAGGCGAAACAATTAAAGAAAAAGGTTAGAAAACCAAATTATATTTCAAAATTTTGAATTAGAAATAGGATAACGTCTTTTCTAACGCTTTTGTTAAGAAAAAAGAATCACCAAGCGATAGTCTAAGTATGTGCTATTATCTCTACTCGAATTTATATGAATTTACATAAATTCCATCAAAGATATTATATTCTTTCTCATATTTCATTTTTAGGAAATAAAAATTTTTTACAAAAAAAATACAATGACGCAATTCATTGTTATAATCAAGCATTGAAACAAAATGGCGAAAAAGCAACATATTATGTTAATCGTGCATTATGTTATATAAAATTAAAACAATGGGATAAAGTCTATCAAGATGCTCGTCATTGTCTTGATCTTGATCCAAATTATATCAAAGCTCATGCTTATTTAGGTCAATATTATTTAGAACAACAACGTTATGATGAAGCAATAACATGTTTTAAACAAGCACTTGAATTAGCTAAAGTATGTTAAATTCATAAAAAATAGATAAATTCGAAAATTCTTATTTTATATAGATTCAGAATAAAAATTTTGGTGATGAAATTCAACGATTATTACGTTATGCTCAAAAACGTCGATTTTCTTTAATGGAACAAAAACGTATTGAAAATGAAATTAGTTTACAAACATATCTTCGTTCATTAATACAAACAGATAAAGAACAGCGTATGCAATTATATATTGAAAAATATTTAGATGAAAAAGAAACAGAATCAACAACAACAGCTAGTCAAATGATATTAAAACAATATTTATCTAAAATAATGAGTTATCCGAATCAACAAACAACAACAACAAATCTCAGTTCCAGTATTTCAATAAATCCAACAATACATAATAATGAAATAAATATTGCTGTTGATCAACAACTTGAACAAGCATTAGATGACATTGAACAATTCTCAAATCAATCATTAAATGAAATGAATAATTTATTTAATGAAGTCGATATAAGAAGAAAACGACGTGAAATACCCGAATATTTAACATGTAAACTTTGTTATGATCTTATGAAAGATCCAGTTATTACACCATGTAAGATAGAAAGAAAACAATAAAATTTTATTATTTTTTCTTTGTAGTTGGTATTACTTATTGTCGATCATGTATTGAAGAAAATTTATATAAAGTTAGTCATCTTGATCCAATTGCGAATAAACCATTAGTTGTCGAACAATTAATTAATAATCTTGTATTAAAAGAAATTATTGAAAAATTTATTAAAGAAAATGAATGGGTCAATTCGGAATGTTTCTAAACAAAAATTATATAATCAAATACACATCTTTTTTTTTTACAGTAATATTTATTTTTGTATATACGTTTATTTATTTATGTTTACCAACAATTGCAGGAGTGAATAATAGAGAAAGAACAGTATTTGTGTGATTTATTATATATATATATATAAATAATAAAATATAATCTTACATAAATACATATCATAATGATATTAATGTTTTAGTCAAGTCTAGTAATAAAGTAAATCAATTATATATATGTTATTTGAATGAATGCTCTATTAACTTGTAACTATAGTCATCATTGAAAATATCTTATCTCTTTCATAGTTATAATTGAAAACATTTTGATATGAAAATGCCAAAAAAAATACGTTTTATTTTAATAAATCAACAGTCGATTCATGTGCGCTTGTCTATCGTTTGCATCTTATTAAAGGCATGTTTTCCGTTGTAGTAGCTTTAATAATAGTAGTAAGTATTTCATATGTTAATGGATCGAATAATAACGTCTGCATACCAACATCAAAACAAAAGAATACAACAAATATCTTAGCTGATCTTCGTCGAGAAATGAAAAATGTCGGTATTGGAATCTATATTGTTTTCTCAGATGATGAACACGGAAGTGAATATACACAATCATATGATAAACGACGTGATTGGATTACAGGATTTCGTGGTTCATCAGGTGTAGCATTAATTTCTTTGCAAACAGCAGCTTTATGGACTGATAGCCGTTATTTTATACAAGCAGAAGAAGAACTCGATTGTACGAACTGGATTTTAATGAAAAGTGGTAACTCAGGTGTACCGAATATAGTTACTTGGTTAGTTACTGAAGCAAATCAAACAACACTGGTAAGATTTTATATTCAAGAATATATTTTATTCAGTTACTTATATTTATTAGCCACCGGGTGGTACAACTGTATTCATTTCTTCATCATGGTGGTCATCAGCTAATACGGCATTAGCAAAAATCGGCAAACAACTTCAACCCGTTGACGATCTTGTTGGACGTATTTGGTCAGATAATGAACGTCCAAAAGAATCGCAAAAACCAATTGTTCAACATGATATTAAATATGCAGGAGAAAATGTTACCGAGAAATTAGTTCGAACAACAACAGAACTTAAATATGCTCGTGTACAAGCAACTATTATAAGTGCTCTAGATGAAATTGCATGGCAATTTAATTTACGTGGTGCTGATATTCCATATAATCCTTTTTTTAAATCATATGCTATCATTTATACAAATTATAATGTTCATCAACCAGAATTATTTGTTAATTTAGCACAACTTAATAGTAGTATATATCCTATTGGTGTTAAAGTATTTAATTATACTATGTTTTGGTCACATTTAAATGCAACAGTTACAGATCCAACTATTCAAAAGATTTGGATTAGTAATCGAGTATCTCAAGCTATACGAAGTTTAATTCCTGAGAATAGATTAAAACTACCCTTATCAAATTCACCTATAAAACAAATAAAATCACACAAGAATTTAGTAGAACGACAAGGAATGAGAGATTGTCAAATACGAGATGCTATTGCTCGTATGAAACATATTGGATGGATTGAAAAACAATTAAATAATGGAATATCTATTAATGAGACTGAATCAATAGATCAATTAATTACTTTTCAAAAACAACAAAATAAATTTCAGTTTCCAAGTTTTCAAGCTATTTCAGCATCAGGTAATCGAGCAGCTATTGTTCATTATTCATCAAAACCAGCCACAGCTCGATTAATTACTAAAAATGAAATTTATTTGCTAGATGTAAATCTTTGTAGATGACTCATTATAACTTTATAAGTCTTTTGTTTTTGTTTCGTTTAAAATAAGGCTGGTAGTCAGTATCTTGACTGTACAACTGATATAACACGAACACATCATTTCGGTACTCCGAAAGATTTAGAAAAACGTGCTTATACACGTGTTCTTCAAGGTGTACTTGATATTGCTGATGCTGTTTTTCCTAAACGAACCTATGGTAGATCACTTGATTATCTCGGTCGAATGCACTTATACAGAGATGGTATGATTTATGGACATTCAACAGGGTTTGTATAATTTAACTTTTTATATTCAGTTAATTAATATATTTTGTTGTAGTCATGGTATTGGTCATTTTTTAAGTGTACATGAAGGACCACAACGTATTGGATCAAATTATGATCCATATGAACGACCATTAGATGATGGAATGTTTCTTTCAGATGAACCAGGATTTTATAAAGCAAACGATTTTGGTATTCGTATTGAAAATAATATGGAAGTAGTAATGACTAATAAAAGTATTTATGATAATACACAATTTTTACGTTTTAATACAATTACTCTTATACCATATGAACATTCACTTATTGATGTTAGTTTATTAACAACAGCACAATACAATGCTATTAATCAATATCATATGAAAGTAGCAGCGATTTTAGAACCATTACTTAAAGACGATGAAGCAGCTTTAAAAGCATTACGTTCTCGTACAGCTAAATTAGAACTTCAACCAACAATGACTTCGAAACCACTAAATAAAGCACCGAATACTAATAACTCATTCTTAATAATCTTTATTGTTAGTTACATTATTTTATTTTAAATACATATATATATATAAGTACGACATCTGTAGATCAGAAAAGGAAGATAATTTACCAATCGTGTTTCATCATATGAAATTCTTCTATTTATATTTATCAATTATATTATATATTTCGACTGATTTTGTTATTTTTTAGTTCGACTAACTAAATTCGTTTTCATGTATAATACCATAACAAGATAAGTGCTTTCAATAGTTAGTTTGTATTTGTATTAGATAATACATATTATTTTGATGTACTGTATAATACAGGTAATTGATAATTGTATTCGAGAATTATCATGTAAAGGAAAAATTATTTTATTATGAGAAATAAGAGAGTAAAAAAATTTCATCGAAAGTTTATTTAAATTTATAATTATTATTTTTTCGATTTTTTTTCGATGATTTATTTTGTACTTTAGATTTTATTGAACGACGTATTGCATTATTACTGAGTGCTTTTTTCTTAATATGTAATGATGGTTCTAACATTTGAATTGGTTCTTCGAAAATTGTCGATTTTTCTTGAATAGAAGGAACATCACCTTCACCCGTATTTTTTATCATTGATGATTGTGTAGAAAGAGTATTTGTTTCCATAGGTATTGTTGTTTGTTGATTCTTTGATGTTGAAATCAGTTCATCAGCCATTCGTTTAACAGCAATAGCAACAAGTTGCCACATTTCTTTTGTTAAATGACGTTTAGCTAATTTTGTTTCATCATCAAGATTATCTGATGATATTTGTTGTATAGTTTCATTACGATGATGTGAGAGCTTTTTTGATGAAATATTTCGACGACGAACCATTGAAATAAGAGATAATATTTAAAAGAATACAGCAATAAAAGATATTCAAAGCAATTTTCAAAAATGCGCCTTTTATTTTTTAGATAAGAATGTATTCCCGCCATATTCTATTTCGTTTACCAACATCAGCAATTCGTTCACGTTGTTTTGCCAGTACTCTTGTACTTGCTGAACAAATTGATGGTGGTAAACTTGCACCAGTTACTCTTAATACGTATGTTTCTTATTTTTATTTATTTATTTTCCTATGATTAATTTTTTCAAGATTAACTGCTGCTTCTCAATTAAAACAGGATGTTGATTGTATTATATTTGGTTCTGAAAAAACAGCTGAAACAGCTAATGAATTAAAAAAATATAAGAATTTAAATATAAAAAAAATTATTATTGCTGAAAATGCAGGATTTAAAGGTTTACTCAGTGAATCTGTTACACCGGTTTTACTTGATTTACAAAAGAAAAATAATTATACACATATACTTGGTGGTTCATCAACATTTACAAAAGGAATTTTACCACGTTTAGCTGCTTTACTCGATGTTCAACCAATATCAGATATAACAAAAATTATTGATGATTCACAATATATGCGATTTATTTATGCTGGTAATGCCATTCTTAAACTTAAATCCAATGACAAAATTAAAATAATGACTGTACGTGGTACAGCATTTGAAGCAGCAAAACAAGGTGATGGAAATGGAGATATACAAGTTGAAAAACTTGAATCAACAGTAAAAAATGATTTATCAGAATTTGTTTCACGAGAAGTGACACAATCGGAACGACCTGAATTGCCTAGTGCTCGAATTGTATGTATAGAATTCAAAACTTATCTATATTGATTTTATTTTATCTATAGATCTTTTCTGGTGGTCGTGCATTAAAAAGCAAAGAAAATTTTAAATTACTCTATGATTTAGCTGATCTTTTTCCAGGACAAGCAACTGTTGGCGCATCACGAGCAGCTGTTGATGCTGGTTATTGTGCAAATGATTTACAAATAGGTCAAACAGGAAAAATTGTTGCACCCGAACTTTATATTGCTATTGGTATATCAGGTGCTATTCAACATATTGCTGGTATGAAAGACAGTAAAGTTATTGTTGCTATTAATAAAGATGGTGATGCACCAATATTTGCTATGGCTGATTATGGACTTACTGGTGATTTATTTAAAATTCTACCAGAACTTACAGAAAAACTTAAGAAGAAATAAACATTCGCTTTTTCTTTTATTTAATAAATATTGTTCTTTCATCTTTTCTTTCTTTATCTTTTTTTTTTGATTACTAATTAGTCTTTTTAGATGGATATTGATACGAATTCAAATGTTACTGTTGATTCTTTATTGAAAACTTATCCATCATTAAAAAGAATACCTGATAAAGATCGTGTAAGAAATGTTTTGTGTAAATTTATTTGTTTTTTTATTATTATTTTCAATTAGATTAAATGCAGTTGGACGCAACATGAAATACCAGCACGTGTTGATGCAATTGAAAAATACATTCAGGGAAAAAAATATCAACAAAGTTTAAAGAAGAAATTCGATTATGATTCTTTGGATTTGTATAAAGAATTTCTTGAACCAAGTACAAAAAAGAATCATGAGTATAATTTTTCTAAAGTCTGATCAATGAATTTGTTGAAAATTATTTATAGAAAACAATTATTTTGCAAATTAACATCTCGTCATTTAAATAAAGAACCACATCATATCATGAAGCATATTGAAGGAAAAAAATTCAAACGAGCCTATGCTCTTTGTAAATTTATTATTATGTTTATATAGTTATAAATGTTTATTCCTTTTTTTCTTTCTAGGGCAAAAATGCCAAGAAGATGGAACGGAATATGCTCCAGTAGGTAGAAGAAAAAAGAAACAACAAATGTCAGTTGGAGATGATGACGATGAATATGTTGATTTAAGTGATGATGAAATTGTTGTGGAAGATGATGATGATGATCTTTCAGATTTATATCCCGGTATGTTTATTTTTCAAATATTTATAAATTTTAATCAGTTTTATTAATTAGATTTTCGTCGTTTACGTGCAAGTGATTTAAAAGAAGAAGAAGCAACTACAAATGAAGATAATGATAATAATGCAAGTGGAACAAAAAGAAAAGCCCAAGCATCACAAGTAAATAATTGATAGATAAAAAAAAATAAAATAAAATTTTTGTAAATAATTATCTTTAGATTAAAAAACCAAAGAAACTTGCAGCACCAAGTTCAAAAAGAATGCGAGCATCTGACGATACAATGTCTAATGGAAATGATTTAATTAAACCAACAAAAACAATGACTTTAACTATCTGAGTTTTTTTTTGTTGTGTTTTTTTCTAAACATAATACCATTGAATAGAGATGTTCTCATTTTAATTGCATTGTTTTCATCTTTCAGATCGTAACACTCATTTAAGATAAAAAAAAATGACGACACAAATACCTTCAAACGATGAAGATATTGACGATCAATTATACAAGTTTGTTTATTTTTCCTTTTTTTGCAATATTTTTTCATCGTATATCTTTTACTAGTCGTCAACGGTATGTATTGGGTGATGATGCAATGAAACGCCTACGACAACATCATGTATTAATAATTAATGCTGGTGGTTTAGGCATTGAAATAGCTAAAAATGTTGTTCTTGCTGGTGTACATGTAAATAAATATGAGATAGAGAAAAACAAAAATAAATTATCGAATATTTTAGAGTATAACTTTACAAGATACAAATAATACAAATATGTTAGATCTTGCTACACAATATTATTTACATGAAGAAAATATTGGAAAGAATCGGTAGATTTATTAATTTATGTCGAAATAATTTCAATAAAATTTTCTCATATATTTATAGAGCAGAATGTAGTTTAGAAAAACTACGTGCATTAAATGATTATGTTAAAGTTCATGTATCAACAAAATCACTTTCTGATTGTACAAATGAATATTTTCAACAATTTACAGTAAAATATTATTATGAATAAAAAAAATAGAAGTAAAGAAAATTTTAATTTTAGTGTATTGTTGTAACTGAATGTACTCTTGATGAAATGAAACGAATCAATGAATTATGTCGAATAAATAATATTATCGTAAATATTTCAAAATTCAATTTCTTTTTCTAATTTAATAAAATTTTAGTTTATTATGGCTGATATTTATGGTGTTTTTTCACGATGTTTTGTTGATTGTGGAAATCAACCATTTACTGTATTTGATAAAGATGGTGAACAATCAAAAGAAGTATTTATTAATCATATATCACCAGTAAGAATATACAAAAAAAATGATTTTAAGATAATATTCTATTTCAATATAGGAAGGAATTGTTACAGTAGCAGGTGATGAACGACATCCATTTCAAGATAATGATATTGTTTTATTTCGAGAATTAATTGGATTAGAAAACTTAAATAAATGTGAAAGAACTGTTAAAGGTGAGAAAAATTTAAATAAAAACTTCTTTTTTTTGTTTATTTATATGAATTATAATAGATCTTAATATTCATCAATTTTCTATTGGTGATATATCATCTCTTGGTGGAGAATATAAACGTGGAGGAATTGCACGTGAAGTAAAACAACAAATACAAATTAATTTTGTAAGATAAAATATTTAATTGAAAAACATTTTTCTAACGAAATCTTTTTTCTTATAGAAAAGTTTAAATGAACAAATTATTAATCCAAGAATATTAACAATTGATGGCTCAGATTATTGGACAAAGAATATTACTGGAGAAGTAAATATAATCATTAATTGATGTTCAAATGATAAGACGCTTTTTTTAGATACCACAATTAATTTATGTACATGTTATTATGTTAGCTATAAGCGAATTTAAACAATTATATCACCGATTACCAGAACCAATGTAAGATTTGTAATTAAGTTTTAAATTAATTATTATCTTTTTTTTTATAGTGAAATTAATGAGGAAAGTGATCAAATAAAACTTACAAATTTAGCTAAAAAATATTTAAATGAATTAATATCGAAAGATGTATGTTTATTTAAATTTTTTTTTAATGTATTTTTCATTATATTTGTATATTATAGCATTCCATTGATGAAGATCGTTTTAATCGTCTTATTAAATATCTTTTATATTCAGCAAAAGGCTCATTTGCTCCATTATGTTCGGCAATGGGTGGTTTTGTTGGTCAACAAGTATTAACATCAATTACTGGCAAATTTACTCCAATTCAACAATGGGTAAACTGAATTTTTATTATTTTCTCTTAATTCTTCTTTGATTAATTAGCTTTATCTTGATGCCTATGAACTGATTAAAGAAATTTCTTTCGAAGAAGAATATAATCTAATAAAATCGTAAGACAAAATTGATTTGAAAACTTTTTTCTATAATAATTTTAATGCAGAATAACACCAGATCGATATCAATCATTAAGATTATGTATTGGTGATACGCTTGTCCAATGTCTTGCAAAACAACGTTTATTTATGGTAAGAAAAAAAAATAAATCTAACAAAACATTTCTTATTATTTTAATATAAAGGTTGGTTGTGGTGCCATTGGATGTGAATTATTAAAATTATTCGCATTACTTGGTGTCGGAAGAAATGGACAAGTACATTATTTTCTTTTTTTGTTATTAACTGTTTTTTATTTTTATTATTTTGTCAGATCACAATAACGGATCATGATCATATAGAAAAATCCAATTTAAATCGTCAATTTTTATTCCATAAACAACATCTTAATCAACCAAAATCAACAATCGCTGCAGAATCAGCTCATGATATGAATAAAGAACTTAAAATCAAATCATATACATTAAAAGGTTTGAAAAAATTCTTTTATTTTTTCTTTCGAAAATTTGTTTCTTTTAGTCGGTGTTGGAACAAGTGACATATGCTCGGATAAATTTATTTCTGATCAAACAATAATTGTTAATGCATTGGATAATATCGAAGCAAGACGTTATATGGATTCGTAAGTTTGATTAGATTTTGTAATAAAAATTTTTTTTATCGGACCCAAAATCGAGAATATGTTTAAAGACTATCTTTGGTTTGAAAATATTTAGACGATGTGTTACAAATAAAAAACCTTTAATTGAATCAGGAACGATGGGTCCTAAAGGACATACATTTGTTGTTGTACCATTTAAATCCGAATCTTATTCCAATCAAGTAAAATGAAATATTTATCGAATTAAAAAAGAAATAATTCTTTCGTTTTTGTTTTTGAAAAGAATGATCCCATCGATAAAGATGTTCCATATTGTAATGTTAAATCATTTCCAGCTAATATTGAACATTGTACAATATGGGCAAGAGAAAAAGTAAAATGAAAAATTTCTTAAGAAATAATTCTATTAATATTTATTTAGTTTGAAAGTACTTTTCATATGAAACCATCATTATATAATAGTATTATGTCACAAGCAAATATTTGGAGTCGTATTAGTAATGGAGAAACAATTGATGATTTACCGAAAATTTATAAATTTATGAAACGAAAATGTACAAATTGGAATGAATGTGTGAATTTAGCAAGGGAAAAATTTGATAAATATTTTTCACATAAAGTATTGAATATGATACATTTTTCTTTTTTTCAAATTCTTATTTTTGTATTTTAATTTAATTAGGCACGAGATTTATTACATAAATTTCCAGCTGATATGGTTGATGATAAAGGAAGTAAGGGAATAAAAATGGTTTTTTTCAATTGTATTCAATGACAAATTTTAGTTCTGTATTGGAAATTACCAAAACGAGCACCGACTCCAATTGACTTTGATATCAATGATGATCTGTAAGTATTTTTTTATGAAGAATTACTAAATATTTATATGATTTTATATTTTAGTCATTACAATTTTGTTTTATCTTGTGCAAAAATTTTCGCTATCATATATGCTATTCCAGTAAATGAAAATTTTCTTTAGAATAAAACTATTAAATAATTTTCTTTTAATTTTTAAGGTACCAAACGAACAAATCAATAATGTTGAAAAAAATAAAAATATAATTTCAGAAACAAAAATTGAACCTTGGCAACCAAGAAATAAAGTAAGTGGTCATAGTTGTGAGAATATATTCATGTGGGACGACGACGAAACTAGGATTTTAATGATAATCTGGAGAAATTCAGAATATTTGTTGTTTTATTAATTAAGCCACCACATACCTTATTCTTCGATGATATTAATATATTTATTTTAAAGGTTATTATAACTGATCCAACTGTTGCAAAACCAACACAATCAAAACATGAAGGTGATATCAGTACAGATGAATGGAAATTTGCACAAGAGCGAACAAAAGATTATAGTATGATAGAAATTATTTTCTTAAATAATACAAAATAAGAATTATCTTTTTGTTTGTAGAAGCTTCACCAATTCCATTTGAAAAAGATGATGATTTTCAAATAGATTTTATTGCAGCTGCAACAGTATGTTTTATAAATAATAACAAAAAAAGAAGAAATTTATTTATTTATTTATAGAATTTAAGAGCTCAAATGTATGGACTTGAAGCAGGTGATCGATACGAAATCAAACGAATTGCTGGTAAATTTTAACAGAAAAAAAACGAATATTCTTTTAAATCTAATGTTACTTTCAGGACGTATTGTACCAGCAATTGGAACAACAACTTCTACTGTATCTGGTCTTGTATGTCTTTAGTATTATTTTTTTTTTCTTATAATTTTCTAATTATTTTCATTTATAGATTATAATAGAACTTGTTAAGTTATGTCTCAGTCAGCTAAAAGAACTACCATTAGAAATTTACAGAAATTTTTATATTAATATCGCATTACCATTCTTAATTGCTAGTGAACCATTAGCATGTACAGTACAAAAAATTGGGTTAGATTTTAATAAAATGAATTATTGTATAGTAATTCTAAAATGTTATTTTTTACTTTTAGAAAATTTGATGTTAATATTTGGTCAAGTTTTGAAATAAAAGGAAATCCTAATATGACTTTAGAAGGATTTATTCAAGAAGTTGAAGTATGTTTTAAAATCTATTGTTTAATCATTAATTATCCATATGATTAATTTTAGAAAAAATATGATATTAAACCAGTATTGATTTCTGAAGGAGTTAAATCAGTTTATGCACCATGGATGCCAAAAGCATCATCACAACTAAAACGAAAGTAATTATAAAATAAAATATTTTTTTTAAAGAAAACTAATTTATATTTGTTTTAGAATGGATGAATTACTTCCACACAAAGCTAATGTAACATATTCAGATTTAGTAGTTTTACCGGATGATAATGATATGGATGTTCAAACGGATGGTAATAGCGAAGCTACACCACCACCTATTCGTTACTATTTCAATAGTTAAATATTTTATTGTCTATTTTTTCTTTTATTTTAATAAAGATATCTCTTTTTTTTTCACTTTCGAATAAATTGATTTGTAAAATCAAAACAATATTATTCTATATTCTTTACAAATAAAAATAAGCTTGAAATAAAATTTAATATTATGTGACTTTATCAAAGCTGTTCGTATGTGGGAAGAAAAGCCTAATTTCACACTCTCAACCCATATCTTTATCATAACGATGAAAATAGACACACCCTCTGCTCATATTCCCATCGAAAACAGTATATAAACGATCGATAATATTTAGTTATATCATAAATTCGAATCGCCAAAAACAATGAACGGAATTTTGATCTTATCTGTTGTCTTACTTGTAGCCGTTTTTGATGCAGGTTTGTTATAATAATAATAATTAAATTAACTGATTCAATATTTTATTTATCTAGCTATCGGTTGCACACATACACACGCTGCAGCTCTTACACAAATTAAATCTGTTGGCATTGGAATTTCATCATCAGGTGGCTGTAGTAACCGCGCTAATCCAAAATGTACATCACTTGATAAAGTTCGTTGTAATGCAATTAGATGTTTGAAAACATTGAAAACATCATCAGGGTGTGCACTTACAGTTACTGGTGGCACCGTAAGTTATACATATAAATAGTTTATATCATTAACTTAGTCTTTCGATTAAATAGGAAACTGGTCACGCTGGAGGAACTTATTCACATGGTAATGGCTACAAAATTGATATTTCACTTAATGCATGTATTAATTCATACATTACAAAATCATTTGCTTATATTGGCAAACGAGGTGATGGTGCTGCTCAATATAAAGCATCAAGTGGCAATCTTTATGCCAAAGAAGGCAATCACTGGGATATCACATTTACTGCTACATGTTAAAAAGTTTATTTTTTTGATGATGATGATTGAAATGTATTGTGTTTCGAGGGTTTTTTTATTCTAAATACATTTCGTAGAAATTACAACAAAAACAAAGAAATTAAAAGTGTTGTTTTGTTATTTTGAGTTTTATTATATGAGAAAACATTGTTCTGTATTAGAAACTACTAAAACAAGCATCGACTCTAATTGACTTTGATATCAATAAGGATTTGCAAGTATTTTTATGAAGAGTCACTAAATATTTATATAATCTTATATCTTTGTCATTATAATATCATTTTATCTTGTGAAAAAATTTTTGCTATCATATATGCCAATTTAGTAAATGAAGTTTTTCTTTTAATTTTCAAGCAAAGAAATGAACATACCAATAATTTTAGAAAAAATATGAGATTAAACCAGCATTAGTTTCTGAAGGAGTTAAATTAGTTTATGCAGCATGAATGCTAAAAGCATCATTACAATTAAAACAAAAGTAGCAGTAAAATAAAATATATTTTTAAGAAAACTGATAGCTAATGTAACATATTCAGATTTAGTAGTTTTAACGGATGATAATAGCAAAGCTACATCACCACCCACTCGTTATTATTTTAGTAAAGATATCTGTTTTTTTCACTTTCAAATCAAAACAATTTTATCCTACATTTTTTGAAAATAGATATAAGCTTAAAATATCGAATAATTTTATTTTTCATTATAAAACGACTTACCTTTTTTAAATCAATAAAAGTTTAATATCATGTGATTTTATCAAAGCTATGTTATATGAGAAAACAACTTATTTCGTACTCGTAAGCCATATATTTGTCATATGGATTAGAATAGCCACATTGTTATCATATTCTCATAGAAAACAGTATATAAACGATCGATATTATTCAATCTGTAGTGTGATAGTTTGAAATAAATCGTCAAAAACAATGAACGGAATGTGGATTTTATCTGTCGTCTTAATTGTAGCCTTCTTTGATGCAGGTTTGTTATAATAATAATAAAACTGTTTGATTCAATATTATATTTATTTAGCTATTGGCTGTACACAAACGCATGCTACGGCTCTTGCACAAATTAAAGCTGCTGGTATTGGAATTTCATCATCAGGTGGTTGTAGTGATCGTAATAAACCAACATGTACATCACTTGATCAAGTTCGATGTAACACAATTAATTGTTTGAAAGTATTGAGATCATCCTCAGGTTGCGCACTTACAGTCACTGGTGGCACAGTAAGTTACACAAATAAATACCTTATATCGTTAACTTAGTCTTTCGATTATATAGGAAACTGGTCATGCTGGTGGAACTTATTCACATTCTACTGGATATAAAATTGATGTTTCACTTAATACATGTATCAATTCGTACGTTACAAAGACATTTACCTATATTGGTAAACGAGGTGATGGTGCTGATCAATACCGAGCAGCAAGTGGCAATGTTTATGCTAAAGAAGGCAATCACTGGGATATCACATTCACTGCTACATGTTAAAAAGTTTATTTTTTTTTGATGATGATTGAAATGTATTGTGATTCAAATCTTTTTGCATTCTAATACATTGCGTAAAAATCATAAAGAAAAGGAAATAATTATTTTGTATCGTCTATAGAGTAAAAAGTACTCGTTTGAAAAGACTACTGTGACAAAATATAGTTTATTAAGAACGCTCAATGTCTATGTCCTAGAGAAAACAAATTTGCAAGAGAAGCTTTATAGTAAAGGTAAATCAAGAATATGTTAATGTGATGTCAGCATAAAAAAACAAGACACTATGTAAATTTGATTGTATAATTAAGATTTTAGAAGAGGAAATTTAATTATTAGACTTCTTTGCCTGTTTGTTATTGCGATTCGTGAATCAAATAATAATCTCATTCAAGCTGAGACATATATTAATCAGAGAAAAAACTTCTTTCACAGTTATTTTACCAAGAAAACATCCCATAGGTCATTATGCTAAGCAAGCTTATGTCGGCAATTATCTTACTCTCTTTATTGTCTGCAGTTGTTGTTAATAGTAGTCATTTTTTGGGTGGAACTATTAATTGGCGCATACAGAATTCATTAAGTAATAGTTCATCGATTGCTATACTTATTACTCAAACATATTCATATACATATGTTTATGGAAGATGTGATAATAATGCAATTGCTACCAATCAACTAGTATCATAGTCATCTACTAAGTAAATATTTCTTTGTATATTATAAGTTCGAATATTCAAACTTACCTTCATTTCGGTCGACCTTTTCTTTCTACGCAATAACCTGTCAAACATGACTAATCATCGAAGGAAGCTTGAAAATTGCTGTCACCTTTTCCTAGTATATTCTAGAATAAATTTTTATGTACTTGATTTTTAATCAAATTCTTATAGAATTTCATTTTTTGAAGTATAATGATCAAATAAGAAGAATTTTATATCGCTGTTCTCAAGTATTATTCGAAAATGAGTACAATCGAGTCTATGTATCAGATTTATGTCAATTTGTTTTTATATATCTAAGGTTAACTTAAACTTTCGTTTAGAAAATTCTAATTAATATCTCGAATATTTCATTTCATACTAAATCATTTTTGAAAATTCAGAATTTTCTCTTTCGTTACTTTGTATTTTATTGGAAATTTTTTAAAATAAATAAATAAATAAATAAATACTGTTGAATTATAAAAAAAAATGTAGATGCTTTACAGATTTAGAGATTATCACAATCGAGATATAAACACATATATTGCAAAGAAAAACCACTAGAGATTGCTTTAACACCACATCAATGGAAATAAAAACATTGGCCACATCATAAGAGTGCCAAGCGCCATTCCTGTCATAACTCCCGCTGCGGCATCACCACCCCTACTATAGTGTGGATCTCGATCAACAACAATAACTCTAGGTGCTGGTCCATTAGATGTTTCATAAATTCGAGGTGAATCACTACTATCACCATAAATATTTTGATAATAAGTATAATTATATCGATTTGGTGGAATTTGTGTATTAGTCCATCGAGCATGTAATTGTTGCATACGTTCAATATATAATTGACGAACATCATCGAAAGAAGTTTGCCATGCAAATAAATCATCTGTTGATTCAGCACATAATGTCCATGTATCACCTGAACCAGGCACAATTTCCATTAATTGTTCGCGTGTTGAATCAGTTGGTGGTTCTATAGTCTTAGCTATATGTTCAGAACCAAAACGTATTTCTCGACATCGATTTAATTCGAAAACTTCATCAGCTTTATCATTATGTTTTTGAGGAGATGACATACGACGAAGACGAGCATCTCTTGTCAAAACAAACCATTCACGTTTCCAATTCTTTAATATTGTTGTACGACGTTGTAACCATCCAGCTTTAACTATATCCGTCATGATTAATTTACCATATAAAATATTAATGGATAAGTTCAAGTAATTAATTACTAAGTCAATCGTGAAATTGCGAAATCAAATATGATTCGTAATCATTTTCGACCAATCAAAAAATTCATATATTAAATCTTTTCGTAAAAAAAATATTTTTTAAATGAAATAAATTTTCTTACAAATGTTTCTCTAATGAAACCATCTATTTTTATTGTCGATAACAATCATTTACATACTAATGGTTATTCTATAGACCAATCATTTTTATAAATTGTGATCTTGTGCTTATTGAAAAAAAGTGAGATACATCAGATGAAATACAGAAGGGAAAAAATCTATTTATTCAATAGATGACTATCAAATAGCATACATATTATTTTAGGTAAAAATTAAAACTTATTTTTCTGCCGATAAAATTATTTCTTACACTGGCATTTATATTAAGAATACTGTATTACTAAAACAAGGGTATGTATGTCGATATATTTAACTGCATACCCAATTCTACAAAATTCAGATAGCCTGATATAAACATTCTTTAAATATTTAATAAGATTTGTAATTTAAGTTATTATAAGATTAAAATCAAATACTTCAACTTTCCTTTCAATATTAACATAGACTTTATACTTTTCAAATGAATATTTTATTTAAAAAACAATTGATTGGAAATACGATCTCAGTAATCTTACGAAATCTAGAAAATTAAATTTTCTATTTAGTACATTGATTGAATAAAAGATTAGAACTAACATGATACAAAAAAAAACCCACAAAATATAAAAAATTAATCCAATGAAAAATTCCCATTGATTTTAGATTAAAATATAATGGCTATTTATCGAACTCGTACACATTTTGATATTGATACATCAAAATATGAACATGAATATATTATAAATAATTATTTCAAAGTATTCAGATATTTACATATTGAAACGTAAGATTAGTTATTTAAATCGTTAAAAAGAAATTCCCTTTTTTTGCTTTTTATTCCAGACCAGATTATGAAGTACGTAATGAGCCCTGTAAATATAACTTCATTATTGAACCAGGCCGTAGACATATATTAATTAATGTTATTGTCGAATTTCCATTGATATTAACTGAAAGACGTTGTTTTGAAGTAATAGCTGAATGTTATAATGAAATACGTACATCAACATCAACAACAAATAATTCAACAACCAATAGTACATTGTCAAATACATCAAAGAAGACATCGAAATCGAATATTAACAATCAAACAAGTAAACTAATATCTCAGTAAGTTGAAACAAACTTATTCAAATATACTAACTAGTGTAATATCTAGCGTGACAGTTAGGTATGGGATCATAAAACACAAAGAAACCTATGAGGAAATTGATTGCGTGCAGAATCATGTGTGATCTATTAAATGAAAGCGATCAATAGCTGATCTTTTCTGTATATTATCAATACAAAAATTACATTCATCAACATTACCCGGAGAAAATTTCTATATTTATCTACAGTTTCTAGAGCTTAGATTCTAGAAGGAACCCTGACCGTAGTATCTGTTATCAACCAGCAATTGATTTAGTCATCAGAACAATGTCCTGAAATACCCATATATGATCTATTGTGCACGATCTCATACTTGTAAAAGAAATGAAGTTATTTTAGAAAGACTTATCTCTTATATTTTTATACTTCTTCATTATAAAAATTTTCTACTTAAAAGTAGAACCTTTTAATCACGTATCTGAGCTACACTCTTAATACTTTTTTTTCGATCTTAGTCGAAGACTTAAACATTACATATTTTTATTGTTAATCTTTTCTTTTAGTGATGAAAATCAGATTCTTTATTCCCGAATACCAGATGAAGTTGATTTATATGATAGTGATGAATATAGTGACGATGGTTTTGTAAATAATCGTCGTTATGTTAAACTTCGTCTTGATCTAGATGAAGTTTCATCAATAAAAAAATTACGAATAAAAATTAAATGTTCATATAATCGAATATTATCAAATGAATTAATTGAACCACAATTATGTACTACAATAAATGATCAACAAAATTCATCGGATAAAACCGATCTTTCATTACTTGAATTATTTCATAATAAAATTCCATATGATTTAAAAATTGAAATTGGTTCACATACATTTAATACACATCGTCATATACTTATATTACGTTCAGATTATTTTAAAACATTATTTGAAAGTCAATTTAATGATTGTTCAAATAATCAATTAAAATTAAGTGAAGATATTAATATCAATGCATTTGATGTATTAATTAAATATCTATATACAAATCGTATTGAACAAATTCTTCATGATGAATTATCATTAATTGAACTATTTAAATTATCTGATCGATTTCTTATTGATTCTCTTAAACGTCAATGTCTTATTGAATTATTAAAAAATCATGTGAATAAAGATAATGTTTTTTCCTATTTAAATCTATTAGATACATATGATGGATGTAATGAATTACGTGAGAAATGTTTTGGTTTATTTCATAAACATTCTTATTTATTAAAAACACCAGCATTTCATTTCTTGGAAAAGAATAATCCAAAATTAGCCTTACAAATCTATGGTTCATTTTTCTAAAGACATTCATTTTGTTTTTTCTTTTTGTATAATCATTTATTTTTTCTTCTCACTCCTCGTCTTATTTACAAATAAAATGTTACTTGACGTTTTGGTTTTTTTCTTTTTTATTTGAAATTTGTTTTTCTCTATTTATATATTTTGTTAATAAATAGATAAATTGTTTTTAAAATGGGACTGAATTTCAGTGGAACGATTGATCGTGCGCAACATCCAGAAAAATATCCCGAAAAAGAAAAAGGTCCAACTTTTGATCCGGTATGAAATGCATGTAGATTTTTCTTATCTATATTTTTTTCTTCTCTCTTCTTAAGTTGTATGGCTTTGCCGATGGTCGAAAACCAAAACGTAAATACATATTAATTATTTCATTGAACAAGACGTTTGTATTTTAAACTCCTACTCATAGTTATTATAAATATGAAATTATTATTCAAAAATATTGTAGATTAGTATTAATATTCTAATGAGATTAAAAAACAAAAAATGCTAATGTTTATTAATGTAATACAAAACAAAAAAATGACATTGTTTACATAGATTTTTATCTGAGACGAATTTCATTAATGAACTTGTCATATTTTCTTATTCTAGTAGTTTTTGACCTTTAAAACTCTTCTCTCTGATATGTGATAACATGCTAAACGAAATTTAATTTATTTACGAATGATAAATTTAATTGAATAAGAGACGAAATTGCATTAAGATATGTTTTTATATGAAATACTAATAGAATAAAGCATGTTTCAAGAAGAAAACCGTTCACATGTTTTTGAACGTTAGGAATAATTATTTTTCGTTATTGATATGAAAAAACATTTTGATTTTTTATTGCAAATGATCTGATTAATAATATTCCGATCGGACAACTTTGATCGTCAATGGCTTGATCATTTCATAGAATTGATTTATAGACTCTATAATTTTATCTGAATTAATACGCATCAATAAATTTTTTTATCCGAAGAAAAACAGTTATGATTTAACATGCAAAGGTCTTCCGAAAGCTGATTAATAATATAAAAAAAAAAGACAATTGATTTTTTGCGTCGTAGTAACTGATCTATAATTAGAATATTTAAATGATGAAAAGATAATCAGTACAAAGAATGCAATCGAATTGAACCTTATTTTTTATTATATTATTATTCTAGTTGCACCTTATAGTGAAGAAGAAATGCAAACATTAAATATACCTCTTGATAAACGTGATTATTGTGCACATTATTTTCGAGCTATAATGCTTTGTACACAACAATATTGGCCATCTCAATATGGCTATTGTGAACCGGAACGTCATGCATGGGAACAATGTCAAATTAAAAGGTTTTTAGTTTAATATATATTATTAATTTAATTAAAAATTATTATTTTCAGTAAACTTGATGATGCTAAAGAATATGAACGGGAATTACGTTTACGTCGACGACAATTACGTAAAGAAGAAACAACGAATCGTGCTTTAGCACATCAAGAACTATCTAATAATGAAGAATAAAGAAATGATTGATTTTCAATTTGATATCCTTAGTCTTTAGATTTTTTTTTCTCTCTCTCTCTTTTTTGCTCTGTCACAATCACAACAATAAGATTTTTGTAGAAATAAAGAAAAAATGTGTTTGTGATTATATTTCCGTGAAAGAAAACATTTTATTATTCTTTGGTTTCGTTTTTTAATTAGATAATAATGGACAAAAAATTTGAAGCTTTAATTGACAGCGCGTATGTGAAGCAAAGATTATTTTAGAACAAAAAAAAGTAGAATTTTTTTTTATTGTTTCTAGAATAGAGAAATTTACTATGGTTGGTGTTGACGTTAAAGGTGTTTTAGTTTGTGATAAAAATGGATTATCATTAGCAAGTAATTATCTATTAAATTTTTTTTTCTTTCTATAAATATTTTTCAAATTATAAATAAGGTAAAGATGTTTCGATATCTCCTGGACCCACAGCACGTTTAGCTGAATTAGCAGCATCATTATCAGGTCGAAGAACAACTGTTTGTCTTGAACATAATGAAGAGTAAGAGAAAATTTATTTATTTATAATATATACATATATTTATCTTCCATTATAGTCAAGTATTGATTCAGCAAACAGATAAAGCAGTTGTTAGTGTATATACAAAACATGCAACATAAGTTATTTGTTAATTTACCTTTAAAATTCAGTCGAGTTATACTCCTTCTTCTTTTTTGCTAAAATGGATAATAATAATTTTTTTTCTGTTGTTGTAAATTTTATTGTAAATCGACGATGAATTCTTTTTTTCTCTTTTTTTCTTGTTTGCTCTTTCTCTCTCTTTCTCTCTATCTCTCTAGTTATGATTGTCTTTAATAAATATTTGTATATATAGTAAAAAATATGTTAATGAGCAAATTTCATTAATTAGAAAAACAATGGATCAGAATCAGAAACTTTTATCGTTGTTGGATATATTGATAATGATGTTATAATCGATAACTTATGTCATCTAAAAATAGTACATTAAATTACTATTTTTTATTATCAAGTGATAATTTGCAGACAACAATAATAATCTGTTTGATATAACTTACATATTCTATAGTAAGCTAGTAATATTGACAATTATTATCTACTGTCATTTAAATAAGCTTAGAAAAAGTTTAATCTTTAGATTTTATAGAATAGATAAGCATATTAATTGAGAATAGATATATTTCTAATTTAATTTAATTTATTTGTAGAAAAAAAAAGATTTATTCACATTACTGGCGACCTCTGATAATCAAATGTTCTAGTTGTATTCGAGCAGCTAATCCAATAGTCGTTGCAGAAGTTCATCATTTTTTTTATTATTATTAAAATTATGATAATTAATTTACTACGAAGAAGAATAAGAACATTAAGGTTAATCGAATAAAATCTAGAAATATTTACAATTTTATTAAGATATATATATATGATCGATTTAATTCTAGATCTTATATTTGTCGAATGAGTTCAACAACATCATTATTATCTTCTTTTGTAGTTTCCGATAATTTAATCCAATATTCTTCAGGTTTAATTCCAATTTCCTATACTGAACTTAATTTAAAACAAACTTTACTTGGTGGACAATCATTTCGGTAAATTTTTTTTATGAAATATTTTATTTTATTTCCATTTTTTTTCTATAGATGGGTTGAACAATCGCCAAATGAATTTATCGGTGTTCTGAAATCATATATTATTTATTTACAACATGAAAATGAAAATCTTCATTATACATTTTATACAAATAAAAGTTGTATTATAGACTCAAATGAAAATGATCGTCAGAATGAAACTTCACGTATTATACATAATTATTTTCAATTATCAATAAAACTTCATGATTTATTTCAACAATGGTGTAAATCAGATGTTAGATTTCAAAATGGACTAATACCAACTGGTATTCGAGTTTTAGATCAAGATCCTCTTGAAAATTTAATATCATTTATTTGTTCCAGTAATAATAATGTACAGCGTATAACAAAAATGGTAAAACAACTTTGTATTGAATATGGAAAAGAAATTGGTACAATAAATGGAATAGTTTATCATCAATTTCCGACAATTGGTATTTTTTTGTTTAAGAAAATTGAGTTTATTTCATTCTTTTGCTTTTCAGATGAACTTGATAAATCTAATCTCGAAACACGTTTACGAGAATTAAATTTTGGTTATCGTGCACGATATATTCAACAAGCAATTAAATATCTTAAATACACAATAAATGATATTACATTTTTCGATCGATTGAAATCTCTATCAGTTAAAGAAGCACGTGCAGAATTATTAAAAATCATGGGTGTTGGTCGAAAAGTAAGAATACTAGTAGCCAAAAAAAAAGAAAGACAAACTTAATTGCCTAAAAACAAATCTTTAGGTTGCTGATTGTGTATTATTAATGTCATTAGGAAAACAGGATGTTGTTCCAGTAGATACTCATATACATTCAATTGCAGTAACACATTATGGACAAAGTAAAAAATTACAATTAAATACAACTAATTATAATGCTATATCGACATTCTTTGAACAACTTTGGCAACCATTTGCTGGTTGGGCACAAGCTGTAAATGTTTTTTCTCATAAGTTTTTTTTATTCTTTATCTGATTATTTATTTTCATTTTATTAAGGCGGCATTTTCTAATGAACTTCGCTCGATAACAACCTATAAATCTATTATTCAATCAACATCGTTAAAACGTTCTATAAGTAGTTATGAAACTCATAGTCAATGTAAATTAGTAAAAAGAGAAAAAAAACTTTTATCAATTAAATAACAAATAAAAAAAAATATTAATATAAGGTTTTTGTTTGATTTATTGGATATATCTATTATTGTTTTTTCTTCAGTATGAATATACAAAATCTGGAATATTCTTTCCTTCCGACCTATATTTTTTGCTGTGATAGAAAAAAAAAAGAATTTGTTCGTAGACCAGGCGCAGAATGTTTTTCTTTTGCTTGTCTTATTCGATCGAGAAAAACATATGTTCGAGAGCGATTCAAATTACAAGAGCGTTGTTTTTTTATTAATACCAAAAAAAAAACATGATTAGTTTCTGCTTTCCATAATGGAAAAGCTTAGCAGTGCGAGAAAAATATAAGATAAATATATAAATTCAATTAAGTGAATATATGTATAAGCAAGAAATCGATCTTTATATGATTTTTTTCTCTCTCTCTCTCTCTCTCCGAAGAATGTTTATCTTGATTTTTATATTTATTTTAATAATATTAACTAGTGTAATTAATCTCTCTTATATTTTTATTATTATTTATCAGTGAAAAAAAATATTTCAAACGGAAAAATAGAAAATAATCTTTGTTTCTTCGTCAATAAGTATTCTTTAGACGTCAATGCAGTTGTATAGAAAAAGTGTGTACTATAAAAATAAACGGAGACGTATTTTTTTTTAAATAGTTATTGATATATTTAAGTTTCCGAGATTGAGGTACTTAGAGTTAATTATTGTTATTTTATATATATATACATTTTTAAAGCGTTCCCAATATATAAGATAAAATCTATAGAAAAGTTAAAAATAATTTTTTTGTTAAAATTACGATATTTATAGTTTTCCTAAACAACTAACAATTATATCTGATTAAATAATCGATCAATCTTGTCTATTTACTAACCGTCAACTTGCGCTCTCTATCTATATCTTTTTCATTATTAGTTAAGAACAGAACAGCTTGTCAATTATTATTTATTATTTATTATTTATTTGTCATCAAGCAATCAGATTGGATGGAAGAGGATATATTTGATTGAAAAAAATAAAAGAATAGAAAGACAATGAAAAAAACTTTTTTCTAATTATATAGATATTTTAATTTTAATAATAAATATTTTCTTTCTTGTTTTTTTTCTAGATGTAATTTATTATCCTTTCTACATGAATTCGTATTGAAGAATTTATAAAAAAAAAAAGAAAAAGATAGATTCAACACAATGACAGGCCGAATAAAATTACCATTTAAATTAGGTGATTCAAAAAAGACAGCTGAAATCGATATTATTGAAACATTAAAAAAAGAGGATTTTTCATTAAGTGAAGTAAGCAACTATTTCGATTACATATATATACTTAAGAGTCATGTCATTTATTATTAGATTGTTCGATATGGTTTTCCGTATCGACCAACAACACTTGCTTATGATCCTGTACAAAAAGTTCTTGCCATTGGAACAAAAAATGGTATCATTAAAATGTAAGATTTCATATTTATTTAAAAATTAAATGAAATTCAATTGTTATTATTAGCTATGGCGGTGCATTTGTTGAATGTTCATTACAACATCCTACTGAAGTTGAAATTGTTCAATTAGTTTTTCGTATAAATGAAGTAAAAAAGATTTTATTTTTTATAATAAAAAATGAAATGAACTTTTTAATTATAAAGGGTGCATTGATAAGTGCATGTCGAGATAATTATATACATTTATGGAATTTACGACAAAAAAAACCAGTGATTGCTAGTTCACTTCGATTTGTTAAAGAAAAGTAAGTTAGAATATAAAAATTTTATTTTTTAACTTTTACATATCGAAATATTATTCTGTTTTTTTTTTAGAATAAGTCGTTGTTTATTACCACTTGCTTTTAATTCCAAATGGCTTTTAGTCGGTACTTATGTTGGAAATGTTTATGTTGTTAATCTTGATACATTTACACTTTCATCATATAAAATTATGTGGAATAATGCAATTGGAATGTAAGCATAATTAGATAATTTGTCTAAATTATTTTGTTTTTTTTTGTTTATATATAGGAGTCGAAGCTCTCATCCAGGAGTTGTAGTTGATTTATGTCAAAATCCTGATGATCCGACACGCGTAAGATAATTGATTTAATTGTCAAATTTTTAAATCAACGGAAACGAATCTTTTATTTCCGGAATGTGACTTTGTTAAGTTCATAAGCAAAAACAAAAATTAGATTGAATCTTATTGATTTCTTCTTTTTTTTTCTTTTTTTCTTCTTCTTCTTCTTCTTCTTCTCTTTACTGAAGATTAAATATTTATTAACGGATGAATGTTATACACTATTGAGACAATAAGTACTCTTCAGGATATTACTGCCTTCATAAAATACTCCAAATCACATCTTATCTACTTAGCATGAAACATTACTATTTACTTCTGTTTTATGAGAATAAATGAATGTATGGTACCGGAAGTAAAGGATCTTGAAGAAAATAACAGTACTTCAATGAAGATGAAAGAGCAGATTTTAAGTAGATAACTGTAGTTTTACGTTTTTGTTTTTGAAAACAAATGACAAGTTTTTTTCATGGATATTTCATATTTTTATACATATAAACTAATTAAAGAGTTAAGAAATGGCCTATTTATTGATTCTCCTTACATAACCAAATTAAAATTCGTAACTAAATAGATAGATCCATCAATATTTAACAACTTTATTGCCAAAGTTGAATATATATATACAAAAAGAAATAATAATTATAATTGTCAAGTTCTAAATCATGTTTACATATATATATTCATTCGAAATAAAACTATCAATGCCTGTTGATTATGTGGCAATTGTTTTTGTTTTTAGTTGTATATTGGATTTAGTACACATCTATCATCACCAAATACTGTTCCATTAGGACAGGTTGTTTGTTGGAATCTACAACAGAAAACATCTGAATGTGTTTATACATTATCTCAAGTAACACAAAGTTGAAAAAAAAGCAATAAATAATTAAATTTATTTCTTAGGGTTTGACATCTCTCGCATGGCATTATGAAGGTCGACAATTTATGTGTTCACATTGTGATGGATCATTATCCGTATGGAATTTACGAGCTAATGATAAACCTGTTAGCGTTAATTATCCACATAGTAAAATAAAAATTAAAGGCAAAATACTAATATTTTCTTCTTCTTTCTGTAGCTCGTATTTGTAAAGAAGAATCACCTAAATTTGGACCAGTAACAAAAGTTGTTTGGAGTGCCGTTAAAAGCTCGTAAGATTTTTCTTTTTAAATAAAAACTCTTATTTCTCCCTATTGAATTATAGTGGTGATTCATTTATAATATTTTCTGGTGGAATGCCACTTCAAAATGATTATCCACAAACATCTATTAATACATCTTTAAAATCTTCATCTTATTTTTTAACAATACTACGTGGTCAAGCAATAAATGTTCTTCATATGGATAATGCAATTGTTGATTTTCAAGTCATAACACCATCTCCACATATAGCTGGTTTGTTATATATACATATTGAACGAATAATAAACTTATTCTTTTCATTTCAGATACACCTGATCCATCAGCTGTTGTTGTTTTACTTGAAAATGATCTTGTTGTCATTGATTTAAAAAGTGACAAGTATGAAATACAAAAAAAAGGGAAATTCATGTTTTTGATTTTTGTATTTAATTTAGTTATCCATTATTTGAAAGCCTTCATACATTAGATCTACATGAATCACCAATAACTTTTTGTGATTATATAACAGAACCAAATACAATTTTTTATCAAAATCTTCTTCGTTTACAATCAAAACAAGCAACGAAACGTACATTTAGTCCACAAGTATAATTCATTTCTTTCATATTCTATTCAAATTAACTATCGTATCTTTTTTCAGGAAAATCCAATATCAGGTGGTCGATCTGGTTCAACTATATTTGGTTACAATGAATTACTTTTAACTGGGTAAAAGAGATAAAATCTTTTTTATTCATCTTCTAAAATAATTTTTTTAACAGTCATGCTGATGGTACAATTAAATTTTGGGATGCATCTGGTTGTAATCTTGTATTTTTATATAAATTACGTACAAATCGTTTATTTGATCGCATACAACCACTACATTCACCACCAGCATCGTCAACAAATACAAATAATATGAAAGAAATCAATTCAAATATTAAATTTGATACGAAATCTACACGTGCAAACAGTAATACCAATGATGAACAATTACAACAAATATTATTAAGTGATGATAATCCATTTAGTATATATTCAATAAAAACATGTTGTGATGGAAAATATTTAATGGCTGCTGGACGTGGTGGTCATGTCACATTATTTAAATTTACAGGATCAGAATTAGAAAAATCTGATGAAGGTTTAGGAGATTTAGCATGTTTAGAAATACCGATATTTCATAGAAATGTATCAAATAATCATGATGATTTAAATATTAGTTCAAATAATTCAATCTTAAATGATTTACAATCAATTGCAATTAAACAAAATTTAGAAAAAAAAGTCTCGTTTATTATTACTATTTTAAAAGAAATGAATAATTTGTTTTCTTCTCTACAGGAATTTAAAAGTTTACTTCGAGCTAAAAGAGGTTATCGTCGAATGGCTGGTTATCAACCTGAACTTGTTTGTTTATTATCATGGTTACCAAATGATAAAGTGCCTCTCTTAACTGATATTTCAATTAATTCAAAATATGGATTGTATGAATCTTTTTAATAACAAAAAAACTAAATTCTCTCGTTTTTATCTATAGAATAATATTTGGTTTAGAAAACGGACTTGTTGTTGTTGATTATCTAAGTCAATTTATATTAATGAATATGGCAACAGCAGATTTATATGGTACATCAGATCCATTTCAACGAGCTACATCATCACCAAAACGTCGTGGAACAACAAATGATTCAAATAATGATGATTCCGGTACATTCTCATATGACTATCAGGTAAATTCTATTTTTCAATGTCAATCTTATATATATACATATTATTTTTTGCTCGAATCTATTTTTGTTCTAAAACAAAAAATTCTAATTATTGAAAAGATAATCTAATATTCTAATCTAGCATCGACCAATAACACCTAATTCAGGAACACTACCGAATATATTTTCATTTAATAATATTGAAGAAAATTTTTCAAAAAATCATTTACAACCATTTGATCAATATACACAAATCTATCGTTCAAGATCAATTGAATCTGTATCAAGTATAGATCCGACATTAATAGGAGGATATAATGATGACAAATCTCTTGCATCAAATAATCCAACATTAGCTAAAACATTTCGTACTATACGTAAACATTTAACACGTACATCAAATAATAAAAATGATAATCAAATCATATTTGATGAAAGTGAACTAAATAATCTAGGTGAAGAATTTCATTCAAATTTTCCGAAACAAACAATAACAACAGTAACAATAAAACGATCTATACCTAATGATAAAACATTATCATCATTTGAAAATGAATTTAAAACAGAATCATCAAGTGATCCAACACATGGAACATATACATTTGAATATATGAAAGATAAATTTCCTAAACAAAAATCTGATATTTATCATCATCATCAATCAACAACAAATAAACAAGCCGTTTCGACAACATATACAACATATCATACTCATACTGTAACAGTTCATAGTAATTCGGGTGCGCTCATAAATCTATTCTATTGTGAACGAGCATGTGTTTGACATTTATGCAGGTTTTTCTTTTGTCTCCTGCACGTAAAGTTCGATAATGAATCGTTTGTTAACTAAGCATTTATATAATATAATATTTCGAATGACTTTCAATCACTATCTTCTTCTAGCGTTCCTCACCTCCTTCTAATAATTCAAATCTAACAGAAAAACGATCACAAAATTCATCAACGGATTGTAAGTTCTCTATTTGGTATCAATGAAAAAAAAAATCAATATTTCTTTTGGTGTTGTCTATAACGTCTGTGATTTAAATCTAAAGAAATTTTTTATGTCTGCTTTGCTTTCTTCTGTTTGCATGTTTATTGTCGAATTTAATTATTGAATAATAATTTATATTAAATATTTATCTATTTATTTAGATAAACCATTGGTTATTGATCTTCCACGTTCATCAAGTACATCTAGTCTAGATAATATAATTACAAATGAAAGTGTGTGTGCTATACAATTTTCGGAATCATTTACATATAAAAATGGTTTGTTGTTTAAAAGAATTTCGGTATATATGAATTATATCTATTTGAAGATTTTACAATTTCACCAAGTGTTTGGCTTGGTACAAGTACCGGTTCTGTTATTGTTATTAATTTAAATATTATTTATGAACCTAGAAATATTAGCGGTATGTAGTATTATTATTATGAAAGAAATGAAAAATTTTATTTAACTATTTTAGTTGTACCAAGTGGAACAGTATTTCGATTAACTGGTCGAATATTACATATATCTTTTCTTGATCATAAAGGTCTAATCATACCATCACCGAGTGAAAAATGGGAATCAAAAAGTTTGTTATATTTTTATAAAAAAAACAAAACAAAAAAAAACTTTGAACTATTTTTAGAAACTAAATCAAATCGAACAACAGATGGTACACAAGATTTAAATTCATCATCATGTGTATTACCTGGTAATACAGCATTATCTCCAACGACAAGTATACCATCAAATAATACTCAATATGTTGTCATTTGTTCATCAAAAGAAGCTCGAGTTCGTTGAATTCGATGATTAATTTTCTTTAAAAATTAAATTTATCTATATAGGTTATTTCATTACCAACTCAAGTTTCAATATTTAAACAGAAAATTTTTGATTCACTTGGTTCATCAGCATCTAATATAACACGTGCATCAGTTGTTAAAATTGCTGGTTAAATTAAAAATAAATAAATAAATTTTTTTCGAACTCATTTTTGTTTTCAAATAGGTTCTGCTTGTTTAACATGTTATTTAGCTTCTGGTCGTATACATGTTTATAGTTTACCTAGTTTACGCGAACTTTTCACTACAAATCTTGATCCAATGATTGATTCATGGAGGTAATTTATCGAATATTTCAAAGAAGCGATAGACTTATTGTATTAATTTAGATCAATGATAAGTTCAACATTTACATTTACTAATCGTGGTCATGGACTTTATATGTGTTCACCAACGGAAATTCAAAAAATAACAATTTCTTCTGATATCAAGTATGTCGAAAAAATAAAGAATTCATTTTTTATTTGATTTATTTTATCAGAGAACAAATTAATGAAATGCTCTGCGAATTATATAGTCCATCAATATTAATGCCTGAAGCACCTAAACAAAATTTCTTTGCTAAATTATTTGCTTCAAATGCAATGATTGATTCGGATCAATTATGTAAATATTTATAAAAAAAAAAAAGAATTTTTTCGATATTATTTTTGATATTTAGTTGGAGAAGCAGCTGGTAAAGCTCCGGCTGGTGTTATTAAAAAAGAAGATGTTAATGTTAATATGAATCAATTACGTGGTAATACTGATTCAGCTAGTAGTGCTATACATGATACTCGAATGGTAAAATGAAATCGAATTTGAAAAATTTAATTTTTGTTTTTGTTTTTTTTTAATTAGAAATTACTTGAACGTGGTCAAAAGTTAAATGAAATTGATATTGCATCTAAAGAAATGGCTGATCGTGCTGAAGAATTTTCTAGTTTATCACGTAAAGTTATGTTAAAACAAAAAGAAAAAGCTGAATGGTCATGGCCATTTACATCAAAAAAACAGTGATTTCATTCTTTTTTTTTTGATTTATTTTATTCTCTTTTATCTATTTTTCCTATCTTTTACATGAGTGCAATACATCCTTGTCTTTTCCTATTTAGTAGAACGTATGTTTGTTCTTTATTCTTATTGTTGTTGTGTATGTGGATATTTTTTTCGCGATCGATACATGCAATAATTCTTCACAGACTACACACATATGTTTGTTTTATATTCATATATTAATAAGAAGAACAGTGACTTAAATTTCATAATTAAATATGTATATGTGTGTAAAAAAAAAATAATGAAAAAGAAATGATCTTTGATAATAGCAATGTTTTTTTCTTTTTGGCCTCGAGTTCTTTTTTTTTTCTTCTCTTGAATGATGATCTCATATATAAAACCTTTTCTTTTTCTCCTGATTTGTAAGCCCTATTGTATTTTTGTTGGTGTTTAAAAAAAAAGAATCTTTTTACTTGTGCACGCATTCAATAAAATCGTATCGTTTATTGAAAAACGGCAAAGAAACATTGTATGATATGGATTAAAGGTTATTATTATTTAGAATGCATTCGAATCTAAATGTAGATCATTGAATAGGAAGTATAAAATGAATACAATACCAGAGGGTGTTTTTAAACTAAGAATAATATCTGCTATTTTGTTTATTTGTTCAAAAATTTCGAATCAATTACAAATGAAAAATCATCAAAATCATATTTATTATATAAATCATCATCAGTTTTTTTAGCAATGACGTTGCCAGCAACCACTTTTCTTATTGCATCTAATGCCATTACGACGAAATGTGGATCAACATTCGGAGTATTATGTGATGGTACTATTAAATCGATTTTATGATTTTTCATGACACATACTAATTTTTCTAATGATTCAATATAATCTTTTAGATTTGTTTCTGGACGATAAAGAAAAATAGGTCCTAAATAGAATTGATCACCAACAAATAAAAGTCGTTCTTGTATATCTAATAACGAGATTGAATCAGGTGTATGACCAGGTGTAAATATTACAATAATTTTTCTTTCATTGCCAAGATCAATTGTATCACCATCAGATATATATTTTGTTATTTGAAATTGTTTAATTCGATAAGATTTTTGATCAAAATCTTTTGGAAAATATTCTTCACGAAACATATCATTTTCCATTTCATTCTGTGCTTCGTTAATAAGATCAGCATCATTCTTTTTTGAAAATTCACATTGAAGACCGATTAAAGATTGTTCAAAACGCCAATTATCACCTATATGATCATGATGTGTATGTGTATTGATAACTATTAATGGTAGAGATGAAAGTTCATTGATAACTATTTCAATATTTCCAATACCCATTCCAGTATCAATAAGAAGAGATTTTTCTGAACCAACAATAAGATAAGAAATGACTTCTTCACAATGATATGGTTCATAAATAACAAAGACACTTGGACGAAGAGCATATACTTGAAACCATGATTGACTAGTAGTAATTCGTTGAAGAGAAGAATATTGAGTACGAGGTAATTTATCAAACCATGAAGACATTTTGAAAAAAAATTGATTGTTTTATTCTTACTATTTTAAAGGTCTAAAAGACAACAAATATAATTTTATTTGCTGTCAGTAAACTTAAGATGACATGTCTATCTCTCTCTCTCGATTTAATCATACTTTACGAATAGAAATATATCTTTTTTTCATTCAACACTTTATCAAAATGAACAAAAGTTGCATTAAATAATATTTATTTTTTTATGAGTGTATTTCAGAATATTTTACTAATTGATTTTCATCAATTTATCCTTTCACGCTTATACATTTTCACAATAATTATGCACGTAAATTTGAATTGAGAGTCACAATAAAAAGAAGCAGAAAAAAATATATGAGAATATATAATAAAATAAAAAGAAAAATAATCACGCAAAAGTGGAATAATAATACTAAATATTCTAAAAATAAATTATCAATTTATAAATTTGATCTAAGATTTTGTTGCCAAAGATTGATAATAAGTCGATAATACTTTCCATCCAGCTGGTACCATAAATCCATCAGGTGGTTGTTCACCATCACGAGCAATTTTTCTCATTCGTGTACCTGATATAAAATCAAATTCATCATGTTTAGTAGGATCATAAAAAGCCATATCTTTTAAAACATGATTATAAGCAGCTACTTTAAATGGTAGGATTTGTAATTGATTAAGACCGGGTGCCATTGTTAAAACTTTTGAACCATGTGTTGGATCATATAGATCTTTGGATTTATCCGATGGATGTGGTAAACCAGCTGGATCACGACCAACAATATAAAAATTTGCACCAGTACACATACGAGCTTTTGCATGCCATTGTACTTCAGTTGGACCTGCGTAACTCATTGGTGATGGAAATATAGCAAGAACAGTTCGAGAACGATCAAGTCTATCATGTTCATCTTCATTTAAAAAAGCTTGATGTTGAGCCATACGAACAGGTAATGGAACATCATCATCTTTTGTCCAACCACCTTTAAATAAATTTTGAAATTATTGATTAAAAAAATATATCTGAATACCTAGAGGATGGAGTAAAAGAACAGGATTCTTAAAACCACGTTCATTTAATAATTGACGTGTTGTTTGCATCAAAAGTGAATGTCCATTATGAATTGGATTTCGAAGTTGAAAAGCGAAGACAGCATCAGCCTAATGAATTAAAATGTGTATATGTATATTTATTTAAAAAAGATTTTTCATATTTACTTTCATATCACGAAAACGATGTCGTAATTCATTAGGTGTTAAACGAAATTGATCAAGACCATCATTCCATTGAATTTTCTCTAAAACTTCAACATCTCCACCAACTAACCAATCACCACTTGCAAGAATTACCTATATAAAACGAAAAAAAATTTAATAACAAAATCTTATTTTTCTCTACTTTAATATGAGGATGTTCAGGATCTGTAGTTCCAAATGTTCTTGCACATCGTTCTTCTTTTCTATGCTGATAAAATTCTGGTTTTTTTAAAAGTGCAACAAGTTTTCCTTTATAACATAAAGCTATTGTTGAAGATGATGTTAAACGTTCTTTATCTTCAGTTGTACATGGTAAAACTATTGGAATTGTTTGATTTTCAATATGACCTGATGTTTTTTTTTAATTAAAAAAAGAATTGATAATGATATGATTCATTTAAGATGTATTTATTTACCTTTCATTAAACAACCAAAATGTAAACATTGTAAATATTCAGTTTCACGCATAAAACCGCTAAGTGGAGTTGCCCAACCTTCACTTAATACTTGAACCCATTGTAAATCTAACTACAAATAAACAAGAAAAATATACGTTGTTTTATCAGTAAACATAATTATTTTACTTCAGTAATTTCAAGTTTGTCTAATGATGTAAATTCTTCCAATGCTTTTTCACGCATATGTTCAGTCATAAACAATTCATGTACTGAAAGAATCAATGTTGGTGATAAAACACTCTAAATATACAAATTATATTACAATTAATCATATATCAAATGAAAACGTTCAAACTATGAACATTAAAAAGCTTAATAAAACAGAAAAAACTATGTTAATTGGGGGTATACTCTTCTGACGCGTTCTACAGGATGATGTTGTGAATTCACTAGTTTCTTTTCGATTTCAATTCGACAGGATAATATTCCGATCATTTCCTCTTAATTTGTTTTTTTTATCGATATAATTAGCTAAATACTTCTGTAAAAATCATAAACATTTTGGGGTACAAATTAAATGGGCAGTATTTTATTATGAATGATCAGTAATTAATTCCGTTTGTTCAGTAAATTATCGCATTTATATCTATGTTCACCGTTCTATAGCATCCCTCGATAGTTCTTCACCTTATGTTTCTGACGAAGCGAAAGATGTAAATGTAATTATTATTCCACACCCACCCTCAAAACATTAAAATTGGAACAAAAAAGATGTCGAGATCGATCTTGAAAAGTTAAAAAAGCGTAACTTGTAATTGTAATATTTTCACTTGAATGAACTGAAAAATTACTGAATAAAAAAATAATCTACTAACCAAAATTAAATTATATACTGATTATATTTTGATTTGATTACTAACATTCGAAATTATTTACTGTGTAAAAAATAATTTTTTACGGATCATTTAAATACAAGCTAAAGCTTTATTGATAACCTTTAGTTTCTATCGAAAGAACTATTCTCTCATAATTTTAATTCTTTACATCTGTAACTAAAATGCTAGTTTCACATCAATACAAATAAACTTACACGTTCAGCTAGCTTTCCTATAATCATTTCAAGAGACCGATTAATTGATATTTCATTTGTATCTATTATAACATCGGGATGCACTGGTGATTGATAAGGTGAATCGATGCCCGTAAAACCTAAATAAATTGTTTTTAATAAATTTTAAAAAAAAGACACTAGATGAACTATATAAACCTTTGATTAATCCTTTTCGTGCTTTTTCATATAAACCTTTGACATCTCGTGCTTCACATACAGACAAAGGTGTATTGAGAAATACTTCAATAAATGGTATATTTGCAGATTCATGCAATTGTCTAGCACATTCTCGATCCTATAAAAATCGTGTTTTTTTTTTAAATTAAAATTTCAATAAAAAAAAATAAATATTACTTGTTCAAATGGACTAATAAAAGCAACAATACACATGATACCAGCATCAGCAAATAGCTTTGCTACTTCAGCTATTCGTCGAATATTTTCAACTCGATCTTCATTAGAAAATCCAAGATTTTTATTGAGACCACATCGAATATTATCACCATCAAGACAATAAGCTGGCAAACCTTTGCTTACTATATATTCTTCTAATGCAAAACTTTAAAAGAAAAAACTTTATTTAAATATACAAACAAACAAATAATTTATCTTACGCTATAGTCGATTTTCCAGCACCGGAAAGTCCTAAATTAATTTTAATAAAAAAATAAAATTTTCAATTAAATAAATCTATACTCACCAGTTAACCAAACAGTTGAACCACGAAATGCTCCACGTTGTCCTAATGCTACAGAACGTTTTTCACGCGTAATTTTCGATAGGCAATAAAAAAGATTATTGTCATTCTATTCAGAAAATAAGTAAATAAGAAAACGAAATAATATGAAAAAAATTATGTATCCCTTCACCAAAGCAATAGCTCAAAGCAAAATAGATTCAACATACTTCCATAATTACTATCGAACAATACTTGTATATATGCAAGACTAAAAGCACATCTATCCTATTTAAGTGTATTTTTTCCGCATGAAAGATTTTAGATACAATACGAACGGATAAAATACAAATCAACGTATTTATTATACCTGAAATTTCGTAGGCGGAACTTGGTTGACATTATTAGGTATGATGGACCTTTTCATAACATTTTGTTTCACTAGATTATTGACTATTTCACACAATTTTTTACCGAGATTTTCTTCATTATTAACAATATTTAATGACAAATTATATGTAGTTGTAAGATTAATTAAAGAATTCCAATCAATCAGACCAGATGATTGATTAAAAAGTATAAGATTAATTGTAGAAGAAGAATTTGGTTTAAGAAAAGATAATAATTGAGGCAATGATATTGATATTGTTGAACAACAACAAATAATTGAGGGCGATTCAAATGATTGTGATAAATCAATTTGAATAGTTTGATCTAAATTTGATTTCACGAAAGTAGATAATGTAGGTTGTTGAATAAAATTTTCTTTTTCTAGAATATTGCCAATTAATTTGATATTGTCAGTATTAATCTGACATTGATATAATGGCATCGACGACATTGAAGTTTCTTATTAATATTAAAATATGTTAATGTAAATATTTTGTAGGAAGGAACTTTTATTATTTAAATAATTTCTTTGAATGGTTCCAATAGAATAACCAATTTGATTATTTCCAAGCAGATGTCCTGAGTTTCTGTTTTTTTTTTTAGAAAAATATATTGATTTTTTTATTTTTATCGTAATCTACAATATATTTCACATGAAGGATTAATTTTCATACTATCTCATTGTATTCTCTTTTTACATCTGCGATTCTCTTCCTTTTCACTTAATTTATAAACGTTTTGAGATAAAATCATCTGTTTGTTTTTACTAAAGATTTCCTCTTGCATGACTAGTGGGAGTGTTACATTACTTTTCTTTGTAACAAAGAATAAAGTAAAGATAAAGTAACACCCTTGATGACTACGAGAAAAAACGTTAGATATAAACCTCTTATATATTTTTGACGTCTAATTAATAATTAGAATTTCACTTGATATCAGCACATCATTATTCTTAATATAAACTGAATGTCTACAAAAAATAACTATCACAACATGATTTTGTCGTTTTTATTTTATATTAATAAATTCGTTCTCTATAATCTTTTGAAACAATATGAAGAACAACGAAAACATCATCAATTTAAGAACGATTTTAACATGATATAGAAATAAACAAAAAAATGAACTGAATAAAAAGACAATGCACGGGTGTATAAAGACAAACTATTCATTTTGCTTTTTGTAATATAATATTTGTCTATAGTATATTGTGTATAAGCCTTCTTTTATTTTTAAAGAATGTTAAATATCTTTTTTAATTCAATCATTAATTGCCAATCAGATTTTTGCATATCATCACGAAAATGATCTTTAACAACATCAATAGATTCTCGAGAAATCTAAACAAAATAAAAACAATTTTTTGTTATGCAAAATTTTCTATAATTAAAAATTTACTTTGCTCGTCAATATATCAGTTTCATCAAAATGTCGTCCAAACATTTTTGGTGCTTCACCGCCAACTGGTTCAATTTTAATGCAAACTTCGGCACCTTTTCTTGCTATCTCCATTGGTTTATGATTTACTTCAATACTAACAACTCGACCAAGTTCAATAAACTAAAAGTCGTTTTTGTTTTAAATTTATGTTTCAATATATATCTTACTTCTTTTGATGGAACACATATTGGTGCACCTAATTTAACAAAACCATCTTCAATAATAACACCACATATAATTGGATCACGTGAATTAAATATGCAATTTGGTAGAACTTTCATTTTACATGGAAATACGGCTAGATGTCGATTTTTTTCTTGATTTTCTTTTTTAACACGATCACGATGTGCCAAAAACATATCAAATAAATGATAAATAATATCAGCTTGGAAGATTTTAACACCAACACTATCTGCATGCTCTTGAGCATCTCTTTCAATTCTCACATCAAATGCTAAAACAACTGCCCATCTAAACAAATTATATATTTAAATAAAACAAAAAACATATTTTTTAATTTACTGTGGTTCTCTTTCAAGTTGAGTTGATGCACGAATAATATCTTTTCGATGAACAGGTCCAATATTAATTCCAGCATATGGAATATTTGATGTTTTTAAGAATTCAAGTAAGGCTTCTAATGAACCTAATGTTGATGCTTGAACATAAACACCATTTTCTTTTAGTTTAATTGAGCTAAGAGCTGTTTTAAGAATATTTTGAATTTCATTTTTAAAATAATC